TTCCCAGAATCCGTAATCAAAGTGGCACGTCAACATGATAAAGTGTCCGATGGTAGTGTCAATAATCCATTTTCAGTTTGATATTAATAAAATAAGGTGTTTTTTCATGAGCCCGTGGAAAAAAAATAATGAAAAAAATTATTCAGCGCAAAGGCGCAAATCTCCATGAATTATTGGCACTAACAAGCGACGGCTCGAAAGCTTAAATCAGCGGTTGAGAGCGAGGACTGCCCGAAAAAAGAAAGAACAAAAAATTGTTGATTATGCACTCGAAGGTGCCATAATTAGGGGCAATCACTCAAACTTTAACGAGACCTACAGCGAACTACCGTGCACCTTAAGCGAGAACGGCGTTTAATGAAGAATCAACCTCCAAGCGTGGCAGATCGGATTAAAAATCCGAAATTTCCCCCATGAATACCACTCGAGGGTAAAACGAAACATTTTCATCTCAATCTGGCAACACTGTCTGTAACCCAGTTCCGTAAGTGCAGCCCATTTGTTAATCGCGCTCAAGTTCGGAGCTGAAACACTTGAACACCCGCCATGCGAGGAGAGGACCGGCAATCGAGAGATAGATCGATCGATATCGATTTGACAGCGTATGTTTTCATCGCAAAATATCGAAAGTTGCGCGCGCATCGATATCGAAGCTTGCTCTCTGCTCCGGAGGCCTGAGTAATAGCGGTTAATTGGTCTCCAATATATTTTTGTCAATATTTGGAGGGAACGGAAGTTGATTGGTAAATGTTTGCTTGAGGTGTTTGACCAGCCAGTTTCCAAACTCTGCCTTTTCCCCGGTAGCTCTGCATGGTCCATCATTTCTAGTTTCGACCTGACCCTGACGGTGATTAAGGTGCATGACGGTAGCACTTAATTAGTTTGACATGCCCATCAAAAAATAGTATTAATTTATGGAGGAAATATTAAGAGTATCCTACGCCCCAGTGCGTGGATTAACATAGATTTCTTGGATCATTTTGCCTTAAAATTGACGAGAAAGTCTCCATTTCCCCCAAAAAATTTTCGACTGTGACTAAGTTTTTCACTAAAAATATGGAGAGTTGAGAAAGCAACGGTTTATTTTGTATCGGAGGGAAACGATACACCATGCTAAGCAAGGATAACAATCTGGCGGTGATTTAATTTTGATGAAGCGATTTTTTTTTTTTGCAATGTGCATGAGGTGTTAATATTATTACACTGTTAAAAATCTAGGTGTGAAATTTGGTGCTGGAGTCTAAATAGCACACAAAAACCCCCAGTGATATGAATGCGGAGTTAAGTCAGCACCATAAAAGTGCATGACACTCCGTAAGTAGAATAGATTCCGCGCTGCATTCATATCTTTCGCGATTTTTAGGCGCTACGTAGACTCCGTCACAGAGTTTCACTCTAAAATGTTTAACAGAGTAAGATAAAGTGGATCGCGTTTAGCAGAAAGGAACCAAGCCACATCAGCTGTTGCCAAATTTAACTGGGCACTTTAGTTTTTTACAAGAGAGCGTTTTTGCAGATTCCCTTAAAAATTGCAAAGAGTTTGCTTCGAACGATGCAGAAAATTCATTAATATTTGCACAAAAATCCGCACAATAGTTCAGGGCCGGATTAAATGGGTGGCCACATGGGCCGCGGCCCATGGGGGCAAATCTAGGGGGCGGCAAATTTTGCAATTTTTTTAAATTTAGGTATTAAAAAAAATCGGATTTAGGAAAAAAATTACAAACGAGAAAAGGCTACAAAATCTCTCATTTCCTGAGATCATAGTAATTTCTAATTTGGTCGTCTTTTAGTGATACAAGAGACAACACCTTTAATTAGTCGAGTTAAGAGAGAAACCAAACATACAATTTGGCCTGGAACGGCGCGACTAAGGGAGAAATGATGACGAGGACTTGAGATGAAAAGGAGAAGCAATCGACATGTAACAAATATTAGCGCCTACGAGACTGCACGAATACTTCACGCATTGCATCAAACACAATGCAGTTATTGTGGTCAGCGAGAAACGGATGGCGCCTACAAGAATGCACGAATACTTCACGCATTGCGCTAAACACAGTGCGGTCAGCGTGAAACGCATAGCGCCTACAAGACTGCGTCAATACTTTACGCATTGCGCCAAACACGGTGCGGTCGGCGCGGTGCGGCGGAAGTTAAAATCATTAATCAGTTTGTAAAATCATTAAACTAAATGTGTTTGTTCTTTCATAATTTTTTCGTTCATTTCTTATGAATGGAAGGCCTTGTCCATTAGAGATAGGTTTACGAAACTTGACTTTTGCGCAAAGTTCCGTGACCTTTTGCTAGTAGTGATGACAGGGCTTTCCCAAAAAATGTGTCAACACGAGTAAACGCGTCTTATGCACCCCTCCCCCGCTGGCACGTTCACTTGATGGTTTTTATTGATGTTTCAAAACGAATGAGAAGGGGGCGGCAAAATACAGGCGGCCCATGGGCGGCAAGTAGGAAAATCCGGCCCTGCAAGAGTTTGCATGGGTACAATTATATTGCCCATGTGAAGGCAATGGTTGAGGTGGCTTGGTTCCTTTCTGCTTAACGCGGTCCAAGTAACATGAATAACTGCTGAGACACTGCTCTTCTATGTGTTGACATGATTTGAACTCTAAAACTCTTTAAGAGCCCTGTGATAATCTCTCCATGGCCTAAAGGATTATTTTCAAGTTAGTCATAGGATGAAACGACTCAGATTCCTTGTGCCGAAATGGAACACCCCAGTCGATTATTGGACGATTCAAAGGGATTTTTCCCCTCTTCTTTAATCTTGGGGTGAAAACCAGAAGATGATGGCGACAACTTGCGTTAAGTTGATCCTGTGAAGTGAAATCGGAGGTTGCGGCTCCACGTTAATATGCGGGCGTTGAAATGATCAAGGCGACGGCAGCGGCGCCGCCGTGGTCCATGGAGCGCCGAGCCCAGGGAGTGTTGGGAGCGTATGAGTGCGCGGATCGGACAGAGGTCAGCGTTTGGTAATCGGTTATGAAGCCGCTTGATGGCCGACGCTGATGGTGATGGTCCACGGACGATGGATCCCGCTTGATTATGTTATTACGTCTGTTCCTCGTCTAATCCCCGGCTCCATCCATTCCAGCATTCGATCCGGTCTTCAATTGCCATTTTATCCACTTCTTAATCTCATGTGTGTTTTGTCGCGCTTAGCCCTCAGCCCTTCCCGCCGCCCTCCACTCTCGTCCCGAGTCAAAACACGTCATTAATCCCTCTCCCAAGCCGTCGCCGCTGCCACTTTTACCGAGTCTGGTAAGGGCCGTTTGCAAGATCTCTTGTCAACCTCTGGTCACTAAACCAGTGGTCAGACTCTGGCCAGCAGTCAATCTGCTAATCAGCCTAACTACTGGTTTGCGAGAAAAAGACAAAGGCTGACCGGGACTTGCACTGAAGAAAAAAAAGATTGGTAGAATTTACCATTCCTTCACGCTGGATATCACACAGCGTGAATTCAAAGTCGATTCTGCCAGGGAATGGATGCCAGGATCTGCCACTGGAACCTGTACCAGTATATGTGCAGTAAAGTTTACCCTTCTTCTGGCAGAATTGATTCTGAATTGACGCTGTGTGAAATACAGGTGAAGGAGTGGTAAATTCTACCAATCTTTTTTTCAGTGTGACCTAAAGAAACCGGGTGTCATACAGCATACACACCTACATCTGATCAAGCTCTGGTTAGCTGAAACCACCACTTTGACAGGCACCTGACTAGAGGTCTTACAATCGGCCCTAGGAGAACAAGGAAATCCAGGGGTTCCCTCGAGATACTGAAGGATGTCTGGTTGTGATCCGGGGTCATCTTCCGTGTTTTGATTGTACTCTGCATTCAAGAGACATAGGAACAGAAATTGGATTTCGTTCAGCCACAGGTCAACCAATTTTTTTGGCTTGATATATATTTTGAAGCTGCCACACCAGGGAGCATGAGCGCTGTGCGACTTCAAATCACCGTCGATTCAAACCGCCTTCACTTCGGTGCGTATGCAACACGGACATCCATAGAGCTCGAATAGTTGCATCCAGGCGTTATAGTGAAGTTCGTTTAGTTTAGTAACCGTCGCATGCGACACTGACTGAGGCTTTGATTGGTTCTCATGAACCTAATTTTAGCGTTGCCTATTGAACCGATGAAGTAGACCATTACTGATTTTTATAGTGACATTGTCACTGAGCATGCTGTATAGAGTTTTCTCCTATTTTAATGAGTCATCCTTTATTTTGATTTTTCCCCCTATGGAAAAATCAATCATGCCGTTTGATCGCGAAATTTTCAGAGAACAATCTTATCTCAATAACTCGCATGTAATTTGAAACGAAAATGATAACAGTTCCTCTCAGGAAATAATTAAATGCGACAGGAACTCTGAAACATCACCAGCCTAAATACACGTATTTGAATTCCTAGGCGCCATGGCGATACTACAGCACAATAAATCTACTGAATATATTGGTGAAAATGTTATTATGTTTTGTTCTTTCCCTCCTGAAAAGTGGACTGCGTCTAGTCTTGATAAAAAATGTCTCCCACGGAGGGACGTTGGTCTACGTCCAAATATTTGGAGAATCGGCAAGGACATAGGTACAACAAATAGCACAGGAGAAAACACAGACATGGAAGAAAACAGTCATTCTGTGTCATGCATAGTTGATGAATGATTTTGCATTTACTTAATCAATAAGTATTGGAAACATTTAACAATCGCCTAGAAATTCAATTTCGTACTTTATCATTCAATGGCTTTACCCATTCGTTCAGAGTTACAAGTCACGTGAACTTCATGACATAATGTTTAAGTTGACATTTCTGGAGATTCTACGTCTGGAATACGTACGCAGTATGTCTCCTCTGATTTTACTGATTTTAGCATACAAGTAAACTATAAATCATCGATCCTATAAATCAATGTTTTCCTCTTAGTGCGCTGAAGTAACTTGAAAGTGTAAAAGTGAATTTAAAATAAAATAAGACAGAATGTGGTTATTTTAATCGACATCAAATATATTTACAAAATGCGTATAGAAACCTCCCGTACATAAAAAAATAGAAATACTTCCTACCCGTTAAGAGGAACTGATCACAAAAATTAGGAACTTGACTGTAAGCTAATCAACAACATATACAAAGACATAGGTGGTAAGATACACCAGTCAGAAAATCCAAGTTCGTGACCTGCCATAGTAATGGCATTTGGCTTATACTATTCGGCTTAGTGCGAGCATAAAACATCACCATAGTTAATCTTCAGCCTGGGGTATAATCTTATACCCAAGTTTTGAATTCACAATAAAAACACATTTAAGAACGAATAAACTCGAATACACAAACAATAAATACACAAAAAAACCTTTGGAAATTAAAGAAAAAAGTGTGCAGTACGTAGTACTAATTTAAACAATAGACTGATTTAGTGAACGCGTTATTACATTGGATTTACCGCTGTAAAATGGTACAACTCTTAAAAAGAGCGGCAAAATGGTTAATAGTGTTTTAATACAAATATATATAAAAACTTTTCCGTTGCCCTGGATGGAGCGCTGGGGTATACATCGAATATCGAATGACATAGTCACTAAATCATACTGTGCACTTTCTCAGAGGATGGGACTCTAAGCACGCTGCCGAAATGGCGAAGAGAGCAGTACAGCCGTGCTAAGGAAGAACGCCGTATGAACATTCGAGAATTGCCAAATTTCCTTCGATGAAATGTTTATTTTTGATTGTAAAGATATGTATATTTTCCCCTGAAATTTTTAGGAACTTTAGGTGAAATTGCGAACAAATTATCTGAAAAACTGGAAGGAAAATATTCAAAAGTTTATTAGGAAATTCGTGTTTCATCAAAGGAAATTTGGCAACGCCTGAAGGTTCATACGGTTTCTTCCTTAGCACTGCAGTATAGGTGCATGCTAGGATGAACCTCGAGACACATTATAGCATGTGTCAACCGCATGGCTCATACAAAAAAGCACTTACTGCTCTCTTCGCTATCACGGCAGGACGGGTGCCTAAGAGCCTCGGATGAGCCTAACACGATAAAATGAGTCAACATAGCGTTGGAACTGGACGAAAGTTTGGTTTCCAGAAGGCAAAGGCTCAGCTATGTTGGGATGTTCCCACCAGCATGAACGTTGATCTATAGAATGCCTGGCGCCAAAATACTGATTCCAACCGCGAGGACGATTAGGCATATGAAATGATTTAATGCAGCGCTAGAACTGACTGCAGGTTCAGGCACCGCGGGCGTGTTGGTAAGGACCAGGCCAGCTTTGGGTCTCAACTCTGAACAGGATTGCCCTCCTGTCGACGTGAGAGTCACCTTATCCCTGCAACACAAACAATTCTGTTTATTTATGGCCAATTTTCAATTTTGTATTTAAATCTGTCAAAACTTAGTCTTGGAGTAGAACCTGTTTCATTCACATGAGATGGAAATTTAACTGCAAAGTAACATTTGAACGACGTGTTGCTATTAAATTTGAGATAAAATTGAGGGGCTTTAGACTTGTCTAAAAACTGCACTTACGCCCCTTGGGGCATAAGTGCAGTTTTTGCTATTTCAAGAAATATGTGTTTGAAGTTTCAAAATTAGATGGAACCTTACGTCGGAAACGAAGTTTTCGATGCTGTAAAGATGGATTTTAGTTGTTAGATTTTCATAGAACATACTTTCAAACTAGTTTTAGTTGAGTTCATGGAAATCTCAATTTTTCAAAAACTGCACTAAGTAATGCGCCTCGTTCTCCAAGCTCCTCAATTCACTTCTCACATCGTTTGATGACGCATCACGGGTGTTGGATTTTTCCACTCTTTAAATCTTTAAGAGAGATTTTTATCCTTTTAAGTAGAGGTTATGCTGATTTCTCAGGCAATTTTGGATGTGGAACTTCCCCGTGTCCGAGTGAAAATCATATTCAAAAGAGGCAAATAAAAGCAATCATTTCTTACCCTATTTTGAAGCGGGAGTTGAAACTAGGCGTGTGAACTGTCATTGAATCAGGCAAATCTCGTGCTATATTCTTAGCGCATATTTTTTCTGTCTCCGTTCCAAGATTAACGATGACTAGGACTGTTTCATTTTCTAGAATCCTGTGAAAAAGTTCATTTTTGAAATCGTTATACTTGAAAGTTTTATAACGGAAATCTAAGAAGCATCAGTCAGATATTGCAAGAAAATCTGAGGAGGACTGCGTCGAATTTCGCAGAAAGTTGTCGACGATGAAGTGAATTAAAATTTAAAAACAACTCGAACAACTTTGAAAAAAAAAGTTGAAATTTAATCCAGAATTTCAAGGTTGAAGTTGCATTCGGTTCAAAACTCCTTAAAAATTTGATATTTAAAATGCATTCGAGGCAAATTGATTTTTTAAAAATAATATCAATGGAAATTGATGCACCTATATTGAATTCGATTCTCTTAAGGCTTAAATATCATTCTGCCGAATAAGTAACTTCGCGATCAAACTTTTCTGAAAAATTCAGTTTTTAAATTAGTACATTTTCCGAACTCTCGAAAACTTTCATCTCATAATCATCCCTCAAACAGTTTTGAAACTATACGGATTAAGAATGAAGTTTTTAGCCTCTGCGAATAAATCTTTCCCTATTCTCATAATTCTGAAGAATACGTGCAAATTATTTGAATTCATGCATTGATAAAACAAAAAATTTACCTGGTGTACATGAAAACCCATTCGCGCAATACGTAAGTATCAAGTCGGCCTAATTTGATGATGGGTGTTTTCCTGAGCTTAACCAGCCGTTTAAAGGTATTCAAATGACTGTGAGGATCTGCCAGTTGAGATTTTACATTTTTCTGAAAATAGTTTGGATGGACGGGTAACCAAGTTTTTTCTGCTGTTGAGAAACCTGGAATGACGTCAAGAAGGACAAACACATCAATAGGTTTTTATGTTGATGCGATTGATTAAAGAAGAACTAGCGGCAAAATCATTCTTTAAGAGCTACATGTATTTATTTCTTTAGCACTACGACCCAAATAAACCTCCATATTTTTTCGAAATCAAAATTTAAAAATTAGTCGAATATTAGAAAATTGAGCATTTGTCGAACGATTACAGGGATCATAAAATTTGATGCCCTGTTGAGTTAAGCTTTGGTTCATGTGAATCAGTTTCTCGATTGCGATTTACCTCACAATAACGATCCAAGTTGCTTCAAAAATAGTTGCAGTTGCAGAAAAACACTTCCGCATCAAAAAAATAAAGAATTAAGAAAAAGGTTATTAGTAAAAGGCACTCTCCGATCGTATCTCTGCAAACGAGATTGATCGAAACATCAGATGCAACTATTCCAGCTCTACGGATGTCAAGGTTGCATATGCAACTTAATTGAAGGCGCTCCAAGTGACGCCATGCCAAATCAATGCAAGATTTTGCTACGAGGACAAATACGCAAGAGTATTATATTGTCGCTCGTGTTACGAAAGGAAGTAACTATATTTTAGTGTTGCCAAATTCCCCCTCCCCCCCTGTATCTTGCTGGAGCGAAACAAAAATTTTGCCTGACTCTATTTGAGGGGCTTGGAGAACTAGACGCATAAATGCAGTTTTTGCTATTTCGAGAAGTACGTGTTTGAAGTTTCGAGACTGCATAAATCCTTATGGCGGAGAGGAAGTTCAAACTGACTTTTTGATATTTAAACATTGAAAATTGGGAGAGAATTTGTCACAGAATATGCATACAGACTAGTTTCATTTGAATTCATCAATATCTCAATTTTTTCTAAAATTCCACTTATGGCCTTGTCTTTCGAGCCCCTCATTTGTAAGCACGTTATTTTACCGGCGTTTTTAGTGTCGTCCCACATCATAGGGGTTCTGGATGTATCCCTCGTGGTAGGATCGTCCTCGTTGCGGCCAATGGCGTCCTTCCGTTGGTCCGGACGAATGTAACAGTCCTCCATACCGAGCTCCATTCCGTAGTAGACGTTTAGGATCCCAGGGAGAAGTATTTGGAGCATGTTCCACGAATCCGCAGCTTCGGGGCCCATGCGAGTTGGCAGCCGAGGTCGATCGTGACTCTCCGCCTGCAATACGAGCTTATTAGTTTTTCTTCCTTCACGAACCTCTTAATTCCTCAAAAATTCAATTCCTCTTAAATTTGAACCTTTAATATTTGAGGAGAATGGAAAGGTGATCAGGGCGGACTAGGACTTTTGCAGAGCTTTGTCTTATTTCATGCTAGATTAAAACAAGAGGACCGCGAGGCGCCCTCAAATGGGGAGGGCTAGTGTTCAGGGGGCGTAGTCCCCTAATATTTAATAATAAAAAACATTAAAAAATGAGAGCACCCGACACGACGATACCCCCCCCCCCCCCCCCCNGGGCCTCTCTACTATGCGTAATGGTAATGCGTGTTAAAACACCGAGTTAATTAATCTTTCACCCCGCTCCATTCGAATTTTGCGAACAAAAAGTTTCATTTTAAAAGCTCATCTTGCTCAGGAGGTTCAGGAGGACAGAACGTCGCATCAAATAATAACTAGAGGTAAGAGGTAACGATTTTTTTGGTATTCTGTGCAAGGTTCTTCCTCCGAAAGCAATAGATAAAACTAAAAAAAGACCTGCAGAAAATGAGGAAACCTTCGACTAAATCTTCTCGCATTACAATCTACTCCCATCGAGACATTACAGAAATATAATGTTTTTACATTTTGGTGTTTTGGCATATCCTTATACTTCCTGGGATCATTCAAAATTTCTAAAATTGAAAATGTATGCTCAGTAAGTAACGCCCTGAAGCCTTTGCCTCGTGTTTCTGATTTGTAGTGTTTTCAATAGATGAGCTGATTCTTGCATTTGAGAAATTATTCTCTTTGCTTTGACAGACTAAAGTTCGACATAAATTTTTGGCTATCGATGACTCACCGCCCAATTGAAGACGCCTCCCTCAGGCAGAAACTTTTGCCAATCGCGGATGATTTGAGCAATACGCGCAGGGGTGGCTTCGTATGTCAACATTTTGAAATGGAAGTTGAAGGGCATCTGCGCACCTGGATGAGTCGAATTGCCCATGTATTTGACCAAGTAATCTGCAGTACCGAACTCCTCTATGGACAGCAACCTGCCAAAAAAATTAACCTTTTATGACACTTTTTCACAAAATATTAACCCCTTTTCTGAATGCATGTCGATGGCCAGAGTGCAAAACCACGTATCTCAAATACGATGTTTCCAAATCTCCGCTCCAATTTTATTTTTTCGAAGAGAAATAAGCCAACTTCATGGCTTGAAACTCATACAGAATATTTTGCCAACAAAACAGAGAGGAGTTATCAAGGAAGTTTTTGAGGAATTACTTTGAGTAGCTTTCTGAGGAAAAAGTAAAATATGACATTAAGTCTTCAACTTCGCAAACGGAGATACGTGATTTCGCTCCTCGGCCATCAATATCATGCTTCTGGCTGGTGTATCATGCATCACGTACTTGATTATTTATGTAGCATTATCATAGATCCAATAAAACGTACTCACGATAATTCGATTGCTATTAAACCGTTCTTCTAAAACGCTATTAAACGATATTTAATTTAGTCTATACTAAAGAGGCGGTTCTCGATTTTTCGAACTAATTCATATAAATACGATTAACTCCTAAAGATTCAATATTGCACTTTACATTGATTGATTGTTTAAGCAACCTGTCGAAGATACTTGAACAACTTGCAACTTGAGCATCAGGGGGGGGGGGACTGGGACACGTATCACTGGTCGGTGGTCCGACCGATAAATTTGCAATGTTGCGTCATTCTAAGTGTTTTAGCTGGTATATATTTGCTTCTTACTATCTACCTCTAGTATCTTTATTTCCTTTCGTCAAGTTTCCTTCAAAGCTCTCTCGTTTCAATTTTTTCTTTTGATATTTTTTGCAAAAATGTATAGGAGCTCCTAGAGTAGTTGACTCGCCTCTTGGCTCAATAAAGCCTAATATACTGGGCTCATTTTATGAGCTCTTATTCGTAGAATAAAACAGAAGTGAACGAGTAAAAAAAAAATAATAATAAAGAAAAGCAATCCTTAAAAAACCGTGCACGGAACAAGGGGTTGATTGGTCAAATGTCGTGATTTTTTCAAAACAACAAGCGTGAAAAATTAAAATTCATGTTTACTTCGTTACTCCGTCCTTTTTCTTTTGCTCTTCCATAGTCATCCTCCACTCGCGCGCCAAATCAAAGGACTCAGGTTGGCTAAGTGTGTAAATATGGTCCATGCCAAACCATGTGTGCCTCCTACCAGGTCGGATGGGTTCATCTAGCAAATGTGTTGCTTCAAATAACCACTTTGCCGCGTCCACTCTGAAGCCGTCCACCCCCAGATCCATCCAGAATCTCATCAAATTCTATAAAATTTAGTTAAAGAACGAGAATGAAAATTGAGAACGTCAAAAGTCAAAGAGATTTCTATCTCAAGGTTTCTGAACTTACGACGGTGTGACTAAAAAAATGAGTGCCTACTTGCGATGTTAGGAAATATAATCCTGCCTAGAATTTTTTATGTGGGCGCATGATAGCTGATATTTTTAAATAAAGCAAGTAACAGGATGATAGAGGAGTGGTGGGTCCATTGGCGGATCTAGCAAATTGGCAACACTGTTTTCCTCCATTTAAACCTATGGAAATGTATCGATTCTTTGAGGGACCAGGTGCTCCGACAAGAATCGATTATTTAACATAGGCTTAAATGGAAGGAATCCGTTGTTGCCAAATTGCTAGATCCGCCCCTGGGTGGGTCCACACTATTCTGAGGGAAAAAAGCCAGCAGTATCAAAATTTAGAAGTAGAGTAACAAAATAATCTCAGATGGGAATTCAGTGGAATTTTCAATGGTGGATAAGGACATTAAAGATACTTTGAACATGAGAACTAGGCATTGGGATGGACTGTATAATTTTTTGTTGATCTGAAAGAAACGACAACCAAATTTAGCTGCTAGTAAAAGTGCAGCTCACTAATGCAAACAAAAAATACTGAGTTGATGAGGGATATCTTCGTGCAGTAAATTTCGTTCCCTCTGAAAAGGGCTCATTCATTTTAGAGACTTACATTGATTTCCTCTCGAAGTTTTGGGTTACGGAAATTTAAATCAGGTTGTTTGATAGCGAACGCGTGGTAATAGTATTGCTTTCGTATCGGACTCCACGTCCATGCTGATCCTTCGAAAATACTGACCTGAAATGATTCGAAAAAAAGGGAAATATTTTTACTCATATTTACCATGAAAAGGTAATGAAACAATGTAAACGTCACGGGAAAAACAATACAGCGCTGAGCCCTAAAACTTTAGGGTTCAGCCATACAGACTGTGGGTCTCAGTAGTACTGCCATATCAGCTGGCTCGATTTGATCTAAACAGCTAGTGCTCAGCACTATATAGTTATTTCCGTGAGGACTTCTACCTAGTTCTTTGAACTGGAAAATCCGAGAGGCAATAAAATTTTAAGATTCTGCCTCGGTTAAAACAAAGCAATTTTATAATTTCGTAAACGTCTGAAACATTTATCTAACTTGTTGCGTCAACTCCTTTTGAACTAGAGAAACCGTTTTTTAATTGTTCAACCTAAGAAAGTTTTTTGTCAGCTTTAGACGACTACTGATGTTTTAATGAGAAAATTTACAGCCTGACTGATTGTCAACCTCTGGTCTTAACTTATTCGACAATTTTGAAGTGGTGAATAATGATCTGCTTAAAAATTATCCAGCTTTCTGTCTTACCCAGTTGTTTGGAACTTCTGAATGAGTTTCGTTTATTTTCTTTCCGTCATTCCAAATGTAATAATCTTTGTAAGGCTCGACTCCTTGTTCCGACAGTTTAAACCATTCATGCTCGTCACTTGAGTGGTTTACGACAAAATCAATAACCAACTTCATACCTAAAAAAGAAGGAAAACGACAACTGTCAGAGTGTTTCATGTGTACAACACACAAAGATTTCAGCGAAACGCAACCATTTGCGTCAGTTGTCGCATTAATTTTTCAAGGAAACAAAACAATGAAAATATACAAAGTTTTTATGATTTTTCTGTGCCCATCAAACAACGCATTGCATTTTTCTGTGCATTTGTTATATTTAAAGAAAATATTGGCCGAGCTGCTTTGCCCATCAAACGTTGTATTTAAAGAAAATATCTGCCGAGCTGCTTGCACACTGCTCTTTAGTGATTTTTATTGATTGTTTTTATTTTTAGAAAAAGTAAAGACTAGATGATATTGCGCATTTCTGCTGAAATAGATAATGAGGAGAGCGTAAATTTAAGTAAAAAATTAAATGAGATAAAATAATTAAGGAAATAGGAAAAAATGCGCTGACAGTGCTTTTGTGAGATTTGCACTCATATTGCGCTCGTGCTTGTACCTCTTTCTTTTATAGCTCTGATCATATTCTTAACATCGTCCATCGATCCAAACATCGGGTCCGGTGCCCTGAAATCGGAGACATCATAACCATTGTCTCGCATAGGGGATTTGTAGAAAGGCTGAAGCCAAATCGTCTCGACTCCTAAGTCTGCCAAGTAATCCAGCTTCTCGATAATTCCTAAAAATATATTAAAAAAATCACTTGCTAGGATCTCCGTTACTCTATACACATATATTTGCATACAGCTATTAGAAATATGGTAGATTTCACCATATTCTGACACAGTGCTCCGAGTATAGTGATAAACACCAGAAGTTATGGTATCATGTACCATATTGTGGTGAGTATCGCCAGGTTTCTGGTGAATCCTACTATAATTCTGGTTAATGTCACTTAATAGTATAACTGTGTAAAAAATGAAGTAGACTAATCGTTGATGTTACCATACTTTTTTCCAGTGTGTAAGGAAAAAAGAGCAGAGTAAAAAGATATTACAAATTTTAAGTCAGTCATATGTGTTCTTCCGTAGAGTTTTCAAATTTTCTACCAATGGGGCCAATTATGACTGACAGAACTGTTGCAAAATACAACTTAAAGCATTTTCAAATCTGTGCTTTCTTTTATGAAAACATTCTAGGGAAAAAGTTTTGCAAATTGAATTTTTGGAAAGCGCTGTTACTCCACCTAACTAAACATATTGACTTAGTACCCAGAAAGTAATGTGCTTTAATTTACCTTTGATATCGCCGGTCCCATCACCGTCCGAGTCTTTGAACGATCGTGGGTAGATTTGATATTCGAGAGTAGTTTCATACCAGTCTTGCTGTCTATGTTGCGCTGAAGTCCAACCAGTGAGACTCATTAAAATTCCACATAAAACGGTTACATGTATACCTTGCATTTTCCTGAAAAGGGTACCAGAAATTATTCAGTTTTAAGAGCTTCACTGGGGTTAGGGCAACCGGTCAAATCAGAAAATGTCTCCTATTTTCGTGAATGAAGTTAAAAAATAAAATATTCTTTTGATCAACCAATGATTTTAACACAATGAATATATCAAGTTTTTTGAGGAGTTCAATGCATGACTACATCAAGTGTTATTGAAGGAACAATTGAGTGATAGTTATTCCTTGATTGTCGAAGTTCAGTCTCAAATATCATATGCAGAAAATGAAAAGTCATCGATTAGTATTTTTCTCTGAACGCCAGTTTAGATAGACCGTAGGGGTTCATGTAAATGCTTCAAATTTCAACGTATATATCTACAAATCCCGGGAATCGTACCATGCTTATGCTTATGACCTGCATTGACTACCTTAACTTTCGTTTAAGGGCGAAAAAACACTAAATATAACACATGATTGGCCTGAGTACTAAACTTAAATAAATGACGGTTGAATAGTGATAGGTCCAACCTATTTTGATAGAAAATCAATGCCAAAAATCCAAAAACTGGAAGTTTTGATAATCCTTTGATTTTTCCTTAGACTAGTGTGGACTCTGTATACTTCTACCGTCCTATTACTTTTCATTCAAGTTAATGTCTACAGGTTTAAATAGGGGCTTTGGTGCTTTGGTGCGTTGAAATGAGGGAGATGAAATACATCATTTAATTAAGTTATTTATTTATTTTTTTTTTCAATGTTTATCTATATTTCAAATTTTTACTTCCAGCTCTATTAAGCAAATCACCGATAATTTTTGAGTCTATTTGATTCTTATGACTTTTGAGAAAAAGAAAGGGTATTGATAATAAGGGCCATTTCTGGGCACACACAGAATTTCTTTAACTCTACGATTTTTTGCTAGCATTGAAGATGTATATTTTACAGAACGTATCAAGATTGGTCATTACCAGTCTGGTCTCTTTCCAGGTCTGGTGTTGACCTGAATAATTGGTCTGGAGGCCGATTTTGGCGCAAAAGGCGACTTTTTCGGGTTTGAGATCGAATGCCAAAAATTTCGCATTGTTCGTCAAAATCAGCCTTTAGACCCATGTTTAGGCCCCTTTCTTTCCCACCTGTCTCTGGTTCGTTTAGCAGAGATACGTCCAAGTAAAAACCTCAATGAGCAAAAAATCGTGGAGTTAAAAAAATTCAGCTAAGGTGGGCTCAAAAACGGCCCTTATAGATACTCCTCCTTTAATACGAAACTTATGGTTAATTTTTTTAATGAATGAAATGATCAAACTAGTTACAGATATTTTCAAGAGAGAAACAGATTTAGCGTAGGGTGTTCTAGCAACTCTTTGACCACGCTGTTTCGCTCCATTAGATAAAATATATTTCAACATTCTCCGAAAACTCCATCAGATAATTCCCTTCGAGGATATGATTTCAAATTTTCTTACCGATAAATAAAATGGTTGAAAAAATTAAATGGAACTGAATGTTACACATGACGAAAATAATAAAATGTTTACCTTGACGTTACAGCCACTTTTGCTTCAAATCGTGATATAAGCTTTTGAGAAAACCTTGGTGACTTTAAGAAAAAATTTGCGAGAACTTAAAATATGAAAAAAATATAACAATGGTAAAAAAAAAATGGAGCTCCGCAAAGTTTGAACGGAGCAGCTGCGATCCCTTTAAGAGAGTATACACATCTTCCGAGATCCCGGACTTATATACCCATGCTACGTACGTGTACTTGAATACTGCATTCAGTGCAGAAACGACGGGAGTCACATCGTCCCGTGAGTCTTGTGATACATAGATAAGAGCTTAAAATTTCAGGGAAGAGAGCTCATAGTTTTCGAGAGGCTTGCGCTAAGAGCCGTCGCTGTGTGGGTGACGTCAAAATCGTGGCGTGGAGGTTCCCCTCTCGAAATGCATACAAGTACAAATTGAAAAGTGATGATGTCAGAAAAAAACGGCAGCGATAGATGCTAAATGGGTTTGTGGAATGGTTAAATCTGTTCAATGACATAACTCCTCGAACTTGATTTTCCAGAAATCGGCAAACGTAACTCCTCTCTTTGCGTAGCTTAGGAGATTGCACAATCACTTAATCGCCCAGTCGCAGTCGTGTTTGATGTGCACTTAATGCACATTGCAAATTGATGCATTGGTGAATTTGATAACGAATTGGTCGTCGTTCCCTACAGCTTTCCGTTACTTTGCTTTGAATCGGTGTGTGTGAAAAGCTCGGAAATGTGCGACTTGGGGTTTCAACTTTTTCTTTATAAGAAACCGCACCACATTTGGTGAAAATTGAAGTATCACAATATCTGTTTCTACTGAACAATTTTACGAAAAACCGTGTGCATCATAAGGGTCTTCGGAATAAATGCTAATTAGTGACAGTGGTGTACATACGGATCCGTTAATTGAAGGTCCTCTCCCATGAAAAGATCAAAATCAGAGCAAGTCAAATCGATCATTGGAAATTACTTGAATTTAAGCTTGGCAAATTGAGTCTAAGGGCCGTATGGGGGACTGTTGTCACAGGTTTAGCAATCCTGCGGACCCCAGCTGGTAGCCCCTGCCTCACAGGGGGCAGTGGAGATGGTCACCGGCCTCTGGGCGTATGAACCACCTGCTAGAAGGGCAGACAGGGCTCTGAGCTGAAGTGAAAGCAACCTGTCTAGGAGAGGCAACTCCGAAATCAAACCCTGGTCCTCCAGGTTGGGGGTTGAGTCATCGGGCTAACTCCCCGGTACTTGTAAAAAGTTTTACTGTTAAACGACCTAACAATACAAGCCTCGGTACCACTAGAACTAAACGGACACGTCGACAAAAATTGAGAAAACGGACAATGGTATTTGGGACGTGGAATGTCCAAGGCATTTCAAATAAGTTACCGGAAGTGATATCGGAGATTCAGAAACTTGGAGTGGATGTCGCTGTTCTTACTGAGACCAAGAAAAAAGGGCACGGGTCAGAGAATTACGGTGACTATGATCTATTCTACAGCGGCGTAGCCAAAGATCAGCGTGCTCAGCAAGGAGTAGCAATACTTTTGCGGAGAAGCCTACGTAAGTTCGTGGGCACTTGGGAGGCCGTCAACCAGCGCATCATCAAAATGAACCTTAACCTGTACGGACATAAGATCACGCTGCTCGGAGTATACGGTGTAAATGATGATGCCACTGTCGCATGTAAGGACCAATTCTTCGAAGATCTGAATGATGAAATACTGAACGTTGGTGCTGGCAGGGAAGCCATTCTTATGGGTGATTTGAACAGCAGAACGGGACGACGAGTAAACTGTAAAGTTGTTGGACCGTTTGGGGAGGATGCTGTTAATGATAACGGTGATCGGCTCATCTCAATTTGTTCTCAAACTGAGATGAAAATTTTGAATGGCTTTTTTCAACACAAAGACATCCATAAGTATACCTGGGTCCAGCCAACGCGAGGATTGAAATCCATCATCGATTATGTAATTGTAAAGCACACTACTAAGTTGAAATTGCAGCAAGTTAGAGTGTGCAGGGGACTCTCTTGCGGCAGTGATCATCATTTCCTCCGAGCAGATATAGCGTTTCCCGTTAAAGGGATTAAAGATAAAGAGCCAATGCCTGAGCAACAGCAGAGTCAGGGAACGCAAAATCATGAAGTATGGTATAACATCGAAAGTTTGGAGCACCCTAGTGTCAAGGCTCTGTATCGGAAACGCTTAGATGAGAAGCTGGGGGATGGACTCTCGGGTACCACGGAAGAGCAATATCAGTTCATCAAAGATTGTATCCACTCTGCAGCGAAAGAAGCCCTAGGTGTTCACAAAACCAGTAATAAATACCAGCATCCTTACTGGTGGGATGAAGAAATTGAAGACGAGATAAATCTTAAGAGGCAAAAACACCTTATATTTCTGTCGTCTAAAAAGACTGAAGATAAAGTTGCTTACAGGAAAGCTCAGTCTAAAGTTAGGAGCCTCATAACACGGAAGAAGAATGAAGCTTGGGAAAGCAACTGTTCTAGAATTAACACCTACCTAGGGGGGAGAAAAAGTGCTGAGAGCTGGAAGTTAATTAAAGGTTTACGTAGAGACATGAAGCGCGACATCGTTTCTCCGATATCACTTAAAAAACTGGAGGATCATTTTAAAGATCTTTTGACGGAAAGGCGCCCAGAGTTTCGCGACAACAGCACGGACAACGGAAGAATGAACAACTTGGAGATCCACACTTGTGACATAATTAAAGCGGTTAAAGAGCTAATTAATGACAAAGCACCGGGTCCTGGTGGGATTCCTGTCGAGTTGGTCAAGTACGGGACTGCCAAGCTCTTTGAGTGCCTCAGAAAACTGATGCAACAATGCATCAGGGGTGACGAGGTACCAAGGGAGTGGAAGGAGTCTTGGATCAAGGCCATCTACAAAAAGAAGGGAAGGAAGGACGACTGTAACAACTACCGGGGGCTCTCAGTGACCGGGACAATAAGCAAAGTGTACGGGAAGATACTGAAAGCGAAGATCGAGGACGAATGGCAGGATCACGAAGCAGAGGAGCAGGCTGGTTTTAGAGCTGGCAGGTCTACGATAGATCACCTCTTTGTTATTGTCCAGGTCATTGAGAAGAAAATGGCCGTAGCTCAGGAACTGCATTTAATTTTTGTGGATCTCCAGAAGGCGTATGACAGCGTGCCGTTGGTGAAACTTTGGGAGGCCTTGGAAAAATCGAATTTTAACGGGGGGTTGATTGACGCTGTTAAGCGATTTTATAAAGGGAGTTTTACCAAAGTTAAGTGCCATGGGGGGTTGTCAGCGGGATTTTATGTGACTAAGGGTTTAAAACAGGGATGTTGTTTGTCGCCAACATTATTTAAAATTTATCTCGAGTCCGTGCTAAAAGAATGGAAAAAGAAATGCTCTGGTATGGGTGTCCCCTTGGGTGATCTCGAAACTCTGTTTACTCTGTGCTTTGCTGATGACCAGGTGGTGGTTGCTCAAGATCAAGATGACGCGGAATACATGATGCGCAAGCTAGTAGAAGAGTATCGGAAGTGGGGTCTGGAAGTCAGCATATCCAAATCTGAGAAGATGACTTTTGGCGGTGATCAGCAAAGCATTGAGTTGGAGGATGGGCAGCAGATCAAAGGCTGCGAGCACTTTAAGTACTTGGGAGTGCGGTTGACCCAGGATGGAAGGACGGATCAAGCTATCAGGGAGAGGAACACCTTAGCAAGGAAGGCTATAGCGATGTTAAATGGAATCCTCTGGGATCAGCGGATTTCTAAAGATAACAAGAGGAGGATATACAACGCTGTAGTCAAAAGTATATTAACATACGGATGTGAAGTTTGGCAGCTGAAGAAACGGACACAGGATATGCTAAGAGCAACGGAGATGGATTTCTGGAGAAGGTCAGCAGGAATTTCTAGGAGAGATCGGGTCCGTAATGATAGAGTGCGTCAGATAATGGAAGTCGAAAATGACATCGTGTTCGACGTCATGACCAAACAACTTGTTTGGTATGGTCATGTCAATAGGATGACGGAAGAGAGGCTGCCAAAAAAGATGCTTGATTGGGTTCCTCCTGGGAGGAGACGTAGGGGACGCCCAGTGAGAGGTTGGCGACAGGGGGTGTTAAATGAGATAAGAGATTGTCAACTCCCTGATGACCTGTGGGAAGACCGAGCTTTGTGGCGATTAGGCGTCGCACAGCGCCAAAGAGCGCTATAAAAGCGACTCATATATATATATATAAATTGAGTCTAAGGAATGCGGCAAAATTTCGGGGTCATATTTGCAAAAGTTTCCGTGCCTATTTTACGAGGAGTGACCACACTGAATTTACGAAGAAAACTGGAGGCACGATCAATCTCTATGCAGCCAACTGCACTTTCGGACCAGGAAAACCAGCAGGACGCTGGCATTGTCAGGCCTAGAAAATATGATTTCTCATTTTTGAGTTTAATGTGAAAATTATTAAGTGCATGCAGCTTTACACGAAATTGTGGAATTAGATTTGTGCTTTGGTGCTTCAGTGTTAACTTTGTGAATCAATCCATTCCAGTTTTTTCGTGCGAAATCATTTTAAATGTAACCAAGTCCTCAAATCTGCGTGCATCGTGCGTGCAAATTTCAACTACATAAATACATCATCGAGAACATCAGGTGAATCGGGAGATTAGGCTCTAGTAATTAATAATTTCTTTCTCAATATCTTAACCTCTTAGTCAAGGAAAAGATATGCTAATACGTGAACTTTGCATTTTAACTCAATGCTTTAAAATGACCTCTCAAATCACCCTCTAAGTCAGAGATAGCTTTTCAAACTTCCAAATTTCTTGTGCATTTTTATCTGGCCACCACAAGTTAAATATTTAATTGTTGTGTAACGGCAGGGTCCTCTATTTGTTAGCAAGTAACGCTTGTTTGTGGCCTCAGCGCAGTTTTAGATACATAAAAAAATTGGCATTCTTGGTAATGGCCATTGAAACGAGATCCAGATAAAACACATTTTCAGCCACTTTATAGACAAGGCCTCTGGATATTTAGCTGATAGTGAGTGCGGACCGAATTCCCAATAATGGAATTGCAAGCCATCACCAAGCTGGAACCAGGAACTAAAGAGGTTCGAAGTTTTATTCCTCCATAAAGCTGGAATTAAACATTAAAATTATCTTTAGCAAGCATACATTCAAAATATTTTTTC